GCAGAGCTGCAATGCCTTCCTCTTCTCCCTCTTCGTCCATTTGCGGATCTCTGTCTGGCGTACGGATACTACGTAGAGCCATCCCCATGCTCCCACTTCACGCGCAACCCTACACCATGTCGAGCTGTAGAAAGGTTCCAGAGCTGAAGACAGCCTTGTGAAACGGTGATAATCCCACCTTACGGAGTTGACCGTCCTGCCATGATACAATCATACATAGCGTTCCTTGTCTCTGGGGGAAGGGGGCGGGCGTTTTCCCCACGAAAGGTGCAACCAAGACCCCTTCTTCGGTACTATGGCCGCATACAGTTTGTTATCATACGAGGCTCTCCTTAATGATAGCCGGCGTTTATTAATGGGAAAAAAGGGGGGCCAGGCGGTTGAGACGAGCGAGAGATGTAGCGCTTGCGGCTCAAAGGGAGGGGACTGTCCCCGGGAGAGGGAAGGAAAGGAGCCCACCATCCTGACACCGGAACTCGCAAGGCGGCGTGAATGATCTACCAAGGCCAAGGCTATAATCCGACATCGCAGCACGCACAGAGAATATCGCAAATGTCCAGCGTGAATTCTCGCGAGTTTCTCTCGTCGCAGCGCCAACCATGGCCGGATTTTCGCAGAAGACCATCCACCCCCTTTACCCTTTTCCCGGCTACATCCCCATTTCGGTGCAACGCACGCCTGGAAAAGGAATCAAGGGCCAGCAGCATGGTAAATCTCTCGTGTCATGTCCCCAATCCGCGAGCTATGACGCTCGCGCCAGCGCGGTTTCTGCTACACTTCTGTCCCAAGCGAGGAGCCCCCGGTCGATGTCACGGATATGCGCGAGGCCACTCGAGGGGGGAAAGGGGATGGGGGCTGAGCGGTTGTCATCTGCGCCTGCGCTATGCGTATGCGAGCGCGGCTATCACGAGTCGGTTGTCTCATGATCTACGTCTCTACGGAAGTGTAGTTCAGAAGTTGGCGACGAATGGTTGTGGTGGTATTTTTTTTTTGTGCCTGCCATCCGGTCTCATGCGTCTGGATCGACAATGGCAGCTGGTCGTTGCGGCTTCACAGCCACCCCTCCCCACGCATCTTGATAGAAATGGTGGCAAAGCAGAATCATCCCCAAGTAGACAGAGGAAACGTATCCTGTTCCGTAACGGGATACTGTATCTGCATCTGTGCACACCATCTCCTCCCCCCCCCCCCCCCGTTATGGTTGGAAGGGGGGGGGAGAAAAAAACTATCCCCAAGTAGTAGGGGAAAGCGAATCTGTTCGTCTACGCGACGATTTGTTTTCTCTCTTGCCCCCCCCCCCCCCCCCCCCCCCCCCCCCCCCCCCAAAAGGCCGTCCCGTTCCCGAAAGGGAATTATCAGGTACCGACTCGTTGATAATCAGGGACCAAACTCCCAAACTTCCTGTTTTCCTTGCAGATGGTGTCCCCCCCGAATCGTGAACCCAAAGTATTGGTGCAAAGATGCAGGCGCAACACGAACCGGACGGCAGGGACGGACGCCTGCACCTCGCCTCATCCCTCCCCCCCCGATGCAAGATGCGGGCAATATTTAGAAACACATGCTACGAATACTGGAGTGGTGGAGGAGAGGGGCGTTTTGAACCCATTGTAACGTGACAGTTGCACTGAATATTGGTGATGTCGACGGCAGTATGACACAAATTGCATCATCATCAGATTTGTTGGCTGGGCGGGCTGTCTTGCCAGAAACTTGCAATGCGACATTTCGCAGGGTGAAAGCGCCGTTGGGACCACCGCCTGTGTGTTCACGTGCACACATACACTCATACTCACACTCATACTCACACATACAGAGAGGGACAGAAGGGAAATGAACTGTTGAGACGATGGCCGCGGGACGTCGATGGCCTGCAGAAGCGAGAGACAAGAAAAAAAAAACCAGACCAAGACACAGGAAGTAGACGGCTTGTACGGATACGACTGTCCTCTATCTGGTCTTTACTACGTAGTCTATTTTGTCTAGAGTCTCTCCGTCACGGAGCCAAAAAACAATCTCTCCACGCGCGCACCAGATCCCGGATCCGACTCCGATCGCGACGGCGGCCCCCTCCCCTTCAAGCGCCCATTGAGCGCGTGTTTCAAAGCGCCATGCGGGAGTACGGCCGACAGGCTTTCACCCTGATGCCGACCTTTGTTTTTTACCTTTACCTTTTCACTTTTGCTCCCCCCCCCCCTTTTTTTTTTCTTTTCTAACTTTTTCTGCTTTGGTTTTGACAGTTCGCCCGTGGAGCCGACGGGTCCCCGAAAGAAAAAAGTTCGGCTCAAGTTTGCTCAAGCGTCATTCTTTCCCATTTTACTCTCGCATCGACTGCTTACCCTTTACCAAAAGTGTCCGTTTCCTCGGGTTGTTTGCCCGTCCCCTTTGATGCACACCATGCTCGTATCGGCCGATCGGCGGCTCAGTTTTCTTTCTCTTTTATTTCGGCTTGACGTTCAAGGCTTCATTCGTAACCCCTTCCACACAAGGCCGGGGAGAGGGGGGGCCGGTTCCGCCAAGGTTGCGAGGTTAATCGCGAGAGAGATTAGAGCTACAGTAAACCCTGGCCCGTCAAGGGGGGGACACAGAGTCTCCCGGAACTTTACCGCTTTTCTTTCTTGACTTTGATGAAGTGCTTCAGACCATTGGGCCCTTGATTATGCCCAAACGAACATGTAAAGAAGTCTTATAGCGACGACAATACGATCGCAAGCCTCTTTTCGGCCAGAGATTCGGTGAGTATTCACGAGCATGTACTAGAACACAAAAAAGGCTAAATGTTTGCGAATTGCTTGATTTGATTGATATTCTTAATTTGTTTCATGGGGTTTCTGCAAGAATCTGGTACCCGCCAAATGCAATGCTCTCCCCTTTTTTTCGCCCATGATGATGCACAAAGGGTATTGAGTGTAGTATCCCGTACGGTATTTCCCCCTTCCCTGGTTTTAGACAAGACTTTTCGAGTATCCAAAGATTCCGCTGATGATGCTATCCAAATTCCGCGCTGTTCCCTAATAATAATAAAAAACCCACACAACCTAGCCCCGCAAGGACATACTGCAGGAAGAGGTGAAGAAAACGTAGCACACAGAGTACGGATACAACACCCGAGGAAAAAAAAAAGGATGCTCATGCGAGTCGACGTCAGAGGCGCCCACCAAACAGGGACGAACAGGACTGCGGAGAAGAATGCTCGTGATTGGGCGGGATTGAATTGGCGTCATCTCGGTAGTGTACAACTGCACGTCGTGTCATCAAAGGGAAAAAAAAGTGCCCCTCATCAGGACCCCTATGATTCTCCAATGACGTCCGCCTCGACGACTCGTGTTCCCCAGTCCCCATTGTTCTCCTGCGTGTGCGAGTGCATTGCGTTGAAGGGATTGGCTCGTAAAGTGCAACCCTTTCCCACAAACCTCGCAAGCGCGCCAAGCTGGTGCAGCTGAAATAACAGAGTACAGCGTTGGCGTTGGCGGGGATTTCCAGGGTTTCGGGGGTAGAACCATCTTCATGCACGATGATGTCTTTTTACCCCTTGTCGTTCCTGTGCAAAGCAAAGAACCCTGGAGGCGAAATGACTGCTGCCGACAAATGGAACCGGCGGAGCGAAGAGACCGACGAGTTGAGAAAACAAGCCGTGACATTTCCTCTTTCGGGCCCGCAGGTGCCTTGCTCGTATCCGAGACGATCAAGTCCGTGCGGACGTATTCGCTCGCAGGGAGAGAAAGGAAGGCCGTCTTTTTCCCCCACAGAAGAGGAGCAGGAGCCGAGGCAGGCGCAGTGAGTGGTGCACTTGCGCTGGCTGCAAACAGCGCAGAGCAGAGAACAGAAAAGGTACTTGAAACTGCTGCTTGTTCGCCTAGCATTGACGAGTCTCTTTTTTTTCTCTTCCGGTGAAGTGGGGTCGGTTCTCCAATAGCCGGTTGCGGAAGGTCCAAGGTCAAATGTCAGCCAATCCTGCACCCCGAAGGGATGGAGAGTGGAGACATTGGGTCTTGGGTGGCCAATGGGAGAGGGCGAACTGTAGGATGACTAACGGCGAGACCTTGTGGAGGAGAGGAGTGTCTCCATGTGGTCGGAAGAACTGAAGAAGAAGCCAAGATGCGTTGCGGGAGGCGCTCACCAACAGGCCGGACACAGCCACTGGTCGGGCGAGGAGGTATCCATAACAGTCGCAGTTGTCAATCAGATCATGTCAGACCATGGGGGACTGCCACGAGGTGGTGATTGATGGCTATATCCGTGAGATGTGGGGCAGATCCGGGACACCCGTCAGCGCCGACTCGGCACGGCTATTCGACACAGTTGACCTGTACAAATTGCCAATTGTGAATGGGCCGGACGACAATGATGAATGCCACTGCCACATGTGCTGCTATGCATGTGCTTGGCTACCCGCGGTGACTGTTGACATCTTTTTGACGTTGCGTACCATTGAATAATGCTGCCGTAGCAATGTGCCGCCGTTCATGTCCATTGGAGGGCCCGTGTGGGTTTGTTTCAACCTTGACGGGGTGACCATGTGACAGTGTCAAGCGAAGTCGAGAAGAATCCAGCGAAATGACCCGCTTTGATGAATTGCATAACGCCTTCCGGGATATGCGTCGTTGGAAATTGTCTTTCGACGCAATTTTTTTTTTTTGCTTCGAGTTGCCGCTGATATGTGCATGGAGCAGTGAAGCTGAATGAAAAAAGATGGCCTGAGAGGCAGCCCGGGCTTACTGCAGATAGCCGCCGTGCAGTGATCGGCAGCCCGATCCCCGTAGATCAGGAAGGGGGGAGTAGGAGGACCAAACCGGCCCCGCCGAAGAATAAGAGCAGACACAAAAAAAAGTGTCCTTCAGACCGCGGAGCTTATTGGGAAACTCAAACGCGGTCTGGGGAATCGCCGACCTCTGGTGCTGATCCTCCAGGGTCCTTTTTGGTGAGGAATGAGGTCTCATTCTCTGGGAGACATGGTCAGACATGACTGCGTCTGCTGGTCCCTGGACGACTGAGAGTGAGATTCAGGTCAGAGCCGAGCCGAGCTGTGCTCGTGCAGTGATGCCTGGCGTGGAGGTGCCTTTTGGTTTAGGTTCATCCTTCGCATGTGATGCCTCACCCATGTCGTTGGGGTTGGCCTTTGCCGGAGGTGACATGGAGCATGCTAATGTGCCCTATGAATGCTGGAGGTCATGTCCATGAGTGCAAGCTGGGTGTTGCAGATGGTTGGAATAGATGTGTGTCGGTCCGTCGTTTGCTGGTCCGTCACCCAAGTACATCCTGAATAGGTTACCCTGGGGGCCACTCATTTGTAGCCAACCATCTTGGCGCAGCGTTCGCAATAGTAGAGGTTGTGGGCGATGCGAACCATTCCCGTCGAGCTGGAGTCGTCGGTGGAGGTGGCCTCGACGGCCCTCGCGCAGCGCAGGCAGCGGAGGACCTCTACTGAGGCGATGGGCCTGGAGACGGAGTCCATGCTGTGTCTGTAGGATGAGGACGCTGAGGAGAGATCGGAGTCGGAGGAGGACGAGGAGCTGTAGTGTATCTTGGAAGGGCGCGAGCTCGAAGGCATTGTGGTATTGTTGATGTTGCTGTACTATAGTATCGTAATGGTGGCTTGGTGGTTTTGTTTTTGGTGTCTCCAAGTTGTATGTTGGAGTTGGAGCTGTGTTGCAGAGACCAGAGTTGGGAGGTCAGGTAAGATGTCTAGACGTGTGGGCGTAGGAAGGCTTGATGATATATAATGAAGAGTAACTGTGGGAGGACGGGAGCGTGGTGTCCAAGGGGGGGTGTGGGCGGCAGGGGTGAAGGGTTAAGAAAAGAAATAAAGAGGGTAAGAGCGAACACCAGGGTGTAATCTGTGAGTCTGGCAAGGGGGGGTGTAAGGCCCCGGGGAGGGGTGTGAGCGTGCGTGCGTGAGATCGACAGAGAACGGATGGTGATGGCAGGCCCAGCGGAATTGTGCAAGTTGGAAATGTGCAAGGCAAGGCGCGGCCCTCGTCGTCCTATGGAACTGTCGGCAAGTAGCCAGACAGCAGCAAGACAAGACGGCCAACGGTCGCTCAGTCACCTCCGCTTTCCGACAGAGCCGGATTTGTGCAGTTTGTGCTTGGAGCAGTGGGTGGTGGGTGATGGGTGATGCGGCCCAGCAGGACAAGGATGCGTGGTGCCTTTTTCGCTCGCTCTCCCAAGCCTCCAAGCTCAAGTCAGAAGGACAGGGGAACCGGGGTGGGGTTTCCTTTGGTCGTTCGTCGAGACGGAGAGAGAGAAAGAGGAGGGGGGTGCGACGTCAGGCACAGGACAAGACTGCTGAGAGCGAAGCCGAGCCCCAGCCAAGCCGAGGGAGGGAGAGAGAGTGTGTGAGTGTGTGAGAGGAGAGGGTGCAGAGAGCAAGGGAGAACGGGGAGAACGGAGAGAAAGATAGAGAGGGCGGGGACGGTGTTCTGACGGGTCGACGAGGTGGTGTGGGTGGACCGTCGCGTGGACGGTGGCAGACGGATCGGAGACTGGCAAGACGGTCGATGCCGATTTGGAGACGGCGTGGTGATACGGAGGGGTGAGTCCCGTAAAGGGCCTGCGTCAGCGTTTCCTGGTTGAGGAGGGTGTGCGAGTTTAATCCAGTGTTCGTTACGGCAGATGCATATGCGACAAAACGGATAACGCGAGCGGAAGGTGATTCGTACGGTGATATCCACTCTACCGGGGCGCCGACGAACGGTGGAGGGGCGTGTGCAGGTGAACGGCGAGCGCAAACTGGACAGGGTTCGTTGACGATTGGGCAGATATCGGGACGCGTTGGCTCAATATCTGAGTCGTAATAGCTTCTTTTCCTTGGGCATTGCTGAGGCCGAAATGCGCGGTTTGTTCTCTGTCGAGTCCAGGGTTATGTGGCTCTTTTTTCTTTCTATTTCCTTTGAGGCCTGTCTGGCAGGATGTATTGGAATTTTGAGGCCTGCTCGCTTCGCACAGCGTAAGCGCCTGTATCTCTCGGGCAATTTTTTATTTTTTTATTTTGGTGGTGAATGTGGGTTTATGATGACTTGTCCCTCTTTGTTGATCAGGTAACAATAGGACAACACGTCGGTCGGGCGGTATGACTCTTCCAGCCGGTGGATAGAGTTTCAATGGAAATGAACAACGAGCCAGTCGAGGGAATTTTCTCAAAGACCGTATGAAAGGAAAAGGAAACTGTTTGTTTACGGCGGTTGATGACAACAAACAATCAGCAAAATAATTGCGCTTTCCAACGCGGGACGGAGGGGACGAGGTAACGTCGGCACTTTAAACACATCTCGCATGGGGGAAAAAGATGGAGCTCGAGATTCAGGGTCCAAAGGAAGGAGGTTTTTAAAAGGAAAAATGATGGATCAGACTTCTAGACCTACTCTGCTCCATCGTTTCCTGAGGGCGCCCTCCCTATTTCCCATGTTGCGCGTACTGCATATCTATCCGAGGCCCGTGTTGGCATGTTTGTGCTAGATCGAGAGGCCGTGGAGGTCTCCCATCGCCGAAGCTTTCCCCTAGGATCCCCTCCCCCTTCCTTCGAGGCGATATCAGTCAGGTCATCAGTCCGAGACGCTGGTATAGAAGTGGCTTTGATTGCACATCTCGATTACAGGATGGGTTGTGGAGGGGGGGGAAAGGGGGCGAACCTGCGAAAAGGGAGATTTAGATAGACATAAAACGGTGGGGGGGAAGGAAGCTATGAATCCGTAGCGCCGAGTGTCAGTAGACAACGTGGTTGTGCCGTTCATCCTCGGTGTGACAAGGCTCGTGCTGAACTGCTTGATGGACGGCCACGTATATGAAGCCGACCGTATTACGTGGAATGTAGGCATTCTATAAGGCGGACGCGCGGAGCCCGTGGAAGCTGTGTGATGGGCAGCCGATACACACGTCGACGGACTTGTCTTGAAGCACGGGGATGTGGAGTTTGGTGATGGGGAGGGGAAGGGGGGCGAGGGAATAGGGAGTTTGCGGGAGATTTGCAAAAATAGCGCGAGGTTTCATGTTTCGAGATGCCGCCCAGCCATGGAGGATTCCCAACGTTTCCTAGGGGTTGACGAAAATCTCCGAGCCACCGATACCACCACCAGGCAACATGAATGGGCCGTTTGCGGTGGGAAGACACAAATTCTCAGCTGTCAAGGCCCAGCTGAAGATTAGAGGGGACCCAAGGTGAAGAAAGTCAAGTGCCACGACGGGGGCCACCCCGGATCGACAAACGGAGCCCCGGGCCGTGGGAACACTACCATCTGGAGCCCGTCCGCCATCCTTTGATCAGAATAAGCCGCAAAATGTTGTCCTGCTCGCCGGTCGAAAATCCCTCCCAACGGTTTGGGATTGATAATTCGCTCGTGGCAGCCGTCGTGCTACTGTTGCATGATCCTCGCGGGAAGCCGTTTCTACTCTCTTCATTTCTCCTCCTTTTCCTTGTGTAGGTAATTTAAAGCCATCACTGCCGTTTCCAACTAAGTGGACGCCACGACGCACGGTTTGAAGCGTTGCCTTTGCGCCTTATTCTTTGACCTGGCCCTGGGATATGATTGGCATGGTATGCCTGCTCTGTCGAGAGCGAAGCCGTCGAGCGAGCGAAAGAGACTGACAGAAAAGGCATCCACTGGGCGGGAACGTCCTCAAACTCAAAGGAGAGGGGGCGCCTTTGGGACGGACGGAGGGCCCGAACCATGCGATTCCGCGTAAGGAATTGTTGACTTGTATTCAAGGGTCCTGAGAGGTCCCTGCGGTGCTTCTTCCGCCCCCTCCCTCCTCTATCTTCCTTCGTTGGTGATCAATCTCGGCTGGGTCTATCCCTCCCGGAACATGGTTTTACGGACGGGGACGCTGTCTCTGTTGCGGTCCAAAGCGAAAAGAATACCCAAAGTTCGTTGGAGGCTGAGCTACGGTGTCCTCGCTTGTGCGCGCTGCTTCTGCTGCTCTCTATCCCTCTCTTTGCGGCTTCGGAGTCGTGCCCGATTCCTACAACCTTGTCAGCCTACCTTACCTCGTGCCCACCCATAACCTCTTCCTCCCTCCCCCTCCTTCCCGAAAGACTGTGAATGTCAAAAAAAGTGTCAGCCTGAAGTTCGGGGTCCTTGTTGCCCGTTCGAATCCATATCCCGGCGTCCCGGGGCGTAGGCCACTCGGCGACCACCAACGGCACTAACGGCACCAGAAACGGACCCAACGGCCAGTCGGCCACTCATATTGGCGTGAGGTCCCGTTGCTTTTTTGTGGTCGGCGGGATCCGGGGTCGGAAGAATTTGTTTGGCTTATACAGGCGGTGCTGTCTCTTGTCAATATGAGAATTGGGTCCCCCCAACGGGACCTGACGGGGAGTATGAGGGACAATGCAAGACCGCAGGAGAGGCAGACAACGCGAGGACACCAAACATTGGCCAATGGAGGTTGCATAGAGATTGAGAGTACTCGTGTGCGCGTTGTGCAGTATGAAACGCATGGGTTGGTGTTGTTCCAATCAAATTTGCTTTCCTTTGGGAGTTATTTTTTGCCTACTTTGTTTGTTACTGTTACTATTTCCTAATTCGAGTATTACAAGTAAGCTCATGCTATTGAAAGTGCAATACTTTGCTCCGAGATTGAACTCTTTGAAAAAAATAAGTGAGTCAAAGAGAAACACTTTTCGTTGGAGGTTTGAAAAACTTAGCCGTCGCTGCGGCGGCTGCGGGACAAAGTGTAGTTTTTGCACCCATCCATCCATCCATCCATTGTGAGAAGCACAAAAACACAAAATAGCTACGCTGCGGCGGTGTTTTTCGAAGGGCACGGCGCGGGCATTGGGTTTCCGCCGAGATGATTCCCGCAGCGTTCGGGGAGATGTTGACCAATAAACCCGCCGCACCCATGACCACAAAGAAAGGGGACTGGCAACTCTATTTCGGCCAACAGAGTCCGCAAAGGCGTCCAGACCTCTCTGTATTAACTCTTGACCAGGCAGAACGGAACTCTTCTGGGGATTGGAGGGAAAGGAAGCGGAGGGGGGGGGGGGGGGGGGGCAGATCCCCCCCACCCCCGTTCCCCTTTTTTTTGTAGGGCCCCCTGGTCCCTTCTGAGTTCCCCAACCCCCCCCCCGGGCTTTTCCATCCCCCCCCTGCCCTTCCCCCCACCCCCCCCCCCACCCCTCTCCCTTTGCCCCTGCCATTCCACCCCCCCATCTCCATCAGCCGTGTCACTTGACTTGATGAGAGCCCTGGTCTGCTTCCTGATGACTGTCACACGATCACGGGCTTTTGCAATTCCAGCCTGTCCATTCCGCACACACACACTCACACACCTGGCATTTCGCCATGGCATTTCCAACTCCCAATTCCATCCCTCTATCTCCTGCCAAAGCATCGCAGTGCCCATTTAGACACAAAAGTCTATTTACCCCTCGTCTTTCTTAGCAATCAATCTTTCCCTGGCCTTCTTCTCTCTGCCTCCGTCGGTTTCTCCCCGTTTCTCAGACCACTTTTACCTTTTCATTGACAAAGCTATTCATCTTGGCTCTCCGGGAATCCCATCTGTGCGTACGCCGCCTATCTGGGACAGCTCGCAAGTTTGAGACGGCAG